TGTGGCCAGATGATGGTGTCCATGTAGCGAAACCAGCAGCAAAGCTTGTGTGGTGCCAAGTCAAGTGCCCTCTCCACTTGACTTGGCCCCACACTAGTCCCGCTGCTGGTTTTTCTACATGGACAACACCTTCGTCATCTGGTCACACGGGCACGACAAGCTTAAGGAGTTCCTGAACCACCTAAATAATATCCACCAGTGCATTCAGTTCACAATGGAGACTGAAATTAAGGGGCACTGCCCCTTCCTGGATATAGATATTTACAGGAGACCTTACTGTTCTCTGGGCCATAGAATGTACCACAAATCCATCCATACTAACCTCTACCTTAACTGCGTCCCACCACCACCCTTCTTACAAGCAAGCTGTACTTTCCACATTGGTGCACAGGGCTAGAGCTCTATGTGATCACGACAGCATACACGCGGAGTAGTTGCTCCTGGTGGACGTTTCCAAGCAGAATGGATACAACAACCGGCAGATCCACAGAGTTCTCAACCGTCAGCTGTACATCAGTTTGCCCAAAGATAAACCGGACTCAGTTGCCTTCCTGTCCTGTGTCAGGACTATATTCAATAGTATCGGCAGAGTCTTGTCCCAGCACAACATCAAATCAGTGGGCCTGCCTCCAAAGAAATTATCTAGTTTTCTCCAGCCAGTCATAGATAGCCTGGGACTAAGGACACTGGGTGTACACAAAATCCCCTGCGAGTGCGGCAAGGTCTATATTGGGAAGATGGGCCATTCTCTGGACACGAGGTTGAAGGAGCATCAGCGGCACACCCATCTCGAACATCCGGACAAGTCAACTATGGCTGAACACAGCAGCGATTTGGGACACTGCATTCAGTGTCAGAAAACCTCCATCCTCGCCACCAAGACCCGATATATATGGATCGCATCATTAGGGAGGCCATTCAGATTGAACTCTATTCCAACAATATGAACAGAGAGGTAGAGTTTTGTCTCAGAAAGTCATGGAATCCTCTCATCTGTTCCCTCAAGAAACCTCTGGGACTTGACGCCAGATCCACGAGGCCACGTAGGTCCATGCCCTAATCTCTTCGCAACCCCTGATTCAGGGGAAAAGAGACTGTTAGAGGGCGTCCTGTTGTTGCATGTCAATGCCCGTCAATATTCTATGACCTGCATGTTGGAAACCCTCAAGAAATTGAAACGGGAAGTCATGGAACATCCAGCTCACAGTCCACATTTGGCACCATTTGATTTTCACCTTCTTTGAACCTTTAAAGAAGCTCTAGGAGGGAGAAGATGTTAATGTGATGAGGTAAAGAACGTGGTGCATCAGTGGCTACATGTGCAACCAAAGACTTTCTGTTATGATAGCATTAAGATGTTCGTAGGATATTGGGGAAATATGTTGATAAGCAGGGCAATTATGTACGAAAATGATTTCGTTTGTTTCTGTTATCAGCACTAAAATAGAATTGTAAAATAAAAAGTGCAGGAACTTGTTGAAGACCATCATGTAAACATTTTCCACCAGTTGGAAGTGTGAGTAGAATGAAAGCATCTGCAGTGGTATATGACTACTCATTCCAAAGTTAATATTGTCCTGATGGTGGGAAAAGTGATGGTTTTGCAGTCGTATTCATGAAAAGTGCTAAATTTTGCTCTTTTGGTTTATTATTGCTAAACATTAACACATACACACATGTTTTGCCATGCAGTCTTCTGTTTCAGTCTGTTCTGAGTGTAGATGATGGTCTGATGTGGATATGCGAAGTAAAGTAACAGGTAAAATTGTCCTATGCTTAATTAATTAATTAATTAATTATGCATTCTGCCATCTTTGTGTATGATGGACTGGAGGTATAGCTCCACCATTCTTAACCTTGGCACTAGATGGAGATGAGGCGTTAACTTCATGCCATGGACACTTTATCCTGACTGAAATTATCTGTGGTTTTCCTCGGTCCCTGTAGGCAAATCCTGGGAGAGTACCTTGATTAGGCCACATCCACTTCCTTTCAAATGCTTTTGAATCATCATTAATCTATCATCCTGCAATCCTGCATCCTACAGTCTTGACATTGAAAGCATTATTGAATAATCCACACACAGACTTCAGCCATATGTGACTTTTGTCAATTTTAAGCATGTCCAGCAACAAAATACGATAATACAGCTGAGCGTGGTGAACTGTATGTAATATCATTAGTCTTGATAGTAGAGCAATCCATTTCCAACTGCAAGGATTATTTTGCTGGGGAAAGACATGCAATTGTCAAGGCTAGGGCCTTATGGGTGATTGGTGGCTAGTGGAACCACAGTCACTGTTGACAGTCATCCAAATGTAAGTTGCCCATTTTTTAATAAACAAAAAATGTGCAGTAACATTAGACTCTGCAGTCGCAGAGTTTTACCACAAAAACACAATTTTAACTTTCATGTTTTAATCTTTAGTTTCTAATTTGAATCTTGATATATTTAATTTTAAATCAAATTTTATTATCTAAGGATTTTCAGTTTTAAATTTTGACCAAGACTTAATATATGAATTTATGCATTTAAATAATTTTAAGACAATAGGGATCCTTATTTGAAGAATCAGATGATAATTAATTGCAGTTCAACAGCTGAAACCTGAGCATTGTACAGCTGATGATGACGCGGTGTAAGGGTCGAAACATGTTGCATCTGTAAAAACAAAAATAAAAGCAAATGTTGATACAGTAGTGTCTTCTTTGTTTTTTAAATACAGAATATTGTTGTGTAGACTGCATACCTTATATACTTTTATATATCTTATTATATAAAAGATTTCAGTATAAAAATATGTCAGAGACGTGCCCCAATGGTGACATGGAAGCTAGAAAAGTGATCTGAGATACCATTATAGCCCAGTTCCCAGCAGATGTGGTGAATTTGCCAGTTTTTTCTGTGTGCACACAAATTTCATTCAGTGAGCACATAAAACCAAAAACCTCACTTTGAAAAACTGGATACAAATGCAAAACCATAGATATTTTAAATCCATAATTGGCGAAAGACTACTATAGCAGGAGATGAACAGGGGTACCCAGGGGTAAATGAAGATGCTTCAGTTTAAATTGTATACATTAACTGAAATGCTCAACGGAAATTAAATAATGTTGATAATTTAGACTGCAAATTTGGGAAGTGTGTCTTGTTCAGTTCAATGAAACATTCTTCCAACAGGATGGGGCTTGACTGCATACAGTGAAAATAATTTTGAATGCCCTCAATGAACCTTTTGCCAGTTGCATTACTTGAATTGATTCCCTGGACATTTTAGCTATGGATGATCTTAAATGCCCTCAATTACGTTTATAGAGGTACATGAAAGTCAGTATAGGAGCCAGAATAGCTCAGTCAGTATATCAACTGGCTACGGGCTGGATAACAGAGGGGTTGGAGTTTGGGTCCTGGTAGGGTTAAGAATTTTCTCCACATCGTCCAGAACAGCTCTGGGGTCCACCCATCCTTGTATCCAATAGGCACTGGGGCTCTTTCCCCGGGGATAAAGCAGCCAGGGCATGAAGCTGACCACTCATCTCCAGCTAGTGCCAAGGTCAAGGAACTGTGCATATGCCTTCATGGCACAGTGCTTAATTGGTTAAGCACAGGGACAACTTTATATTTTACCTTACATGAAAGTCATTGTGTACAGAAACAGTCCCCAGACAATTGAAGTGAAAGAAGGCATTCCATGTGCTCTCATCATAATTAATGCAGACACTAAGCAAATTATTTTACACTTTTTAATGTCAGTTACAAATGATCTTGAATGCCTATTGTTTATATACTGAAAATACTTTCTGTTCACAGATTTTTTCCCAACACCAATATTATTCCTGTACACTCTATATTTTCAGTTTAAATTGAAGTGTCTTTCTTTATTCACCCAGTATTAAAATATGACTTGAAACTGCTAGGAAATATCTTTTTTCATTTTTGCAGTCTACAATGTATGCACCTAGTAATTTTTTAAACTGTCTCTCAGAACTCCTGAACATGTCCTTAATTGTGTAAGATTTGCTGAGACAAAACCCCCCTGTTCATAGGGAGGGGCGTTTTGTCTCAGCAAGTCATGGAAGCCTCTCATCTGTTCCCTAAAAAAACCCCCGGGACATGACGCCAGATCCACAAGGCTACACAGGCCATGACCGANGTAGAAGGAAAGAGCATGTAGATAATTCTTTAACTCTGATTTAAACTTTTTAGTATCATTGCCCAAGTTTTTAATACTTTTAATACTTTAACCTTGCCTTTCTCTCCCCTGACACAATATCTTATACAAAACCCTACTTCTGTTTCCAGCCTCTTCTCCCCTCCTACTCCACTCATTTCCCATGTAGACTTGCCCCCCCCCCCTTCCTTCACTGCTCTCACATAGCTGTGTTTATTTCCAACACCAGTCTGCTTGTACCAGTTCTCACAGTCTCTTCACTTGCAGATTTCTTATTTTTCTTCTACCCTGAAGAAGGAGGCGATACGTTCTTCCAAAACATCGGTTAACAGCACATCTGCATGGTGCCACATCCCAGAAGACTGCTTTCTTCATTTCCTTAATTACTAAGGCAGTGGGCATAAGTTGTTCTAGAACAGCATAAATGCTACTGTATAAACATGCATGAAATAGATTACTGTTTATTATGACAAACCTCTGTATATTACCCTTTCTTCTAAGTACATTCTGAATTGTATTTTTTTTTCTTTTAGTAAGGAATAATGACTTTGGAATCATAACTTTGTGTAAATATCCTGTTTCCTCTCTAAAGAACTAGACTAACCCACAATTAAAGATTTCTTTGGGTAGCTGTGGATATGAATACTAAACTGAAGAAAATCTTAAATGGATGAAATTTAACTTTTAAATTAAAGACATTAAGGAAATCTCCAATATCATGTCGTAAGAAAAGTGCTGATGTGTGTTGTGTTCTTTTTCTACATGATGTACATGTGAACGTTATATAAAACTATTATTTCCTTAAAGAAACTTACTTCATTTCAGATAATGGTGTCATTGAAGAGCCACGAGTGTTGGGCCTTGTTATGGTTCCAGGAAGACATATTGTTTCTATACACATAGATGACACTACAAACTGTGGTGGAGAACCCATTTAATGTGACACTTTTGTATTGATGTTTTAACAATTTATATACTGTCTTTCTCATGTTAAATAATTGTTTCGAAAAATGGTAGTACTTATTTTAATTGTTCAGTCAAGATAATTTCACTTTCTGCTTTTGTAAATTAAAGAATTAGAATAAGTGGAAAAGCAAAAATTTTGCAAAGACAAATGAATCCATATATGTAATAGCCAAATGTCCATCCATCCATCCATCCATGTGTCTCCCAAATAGCAATCACAGGAAAAATAGTAATATGAAAAGAAAGTTCCTCTTGGAGAGACAACCCCAGGAAAATTTGTAATTTTCCTGTTATATTCATGGGTTCAAGACCAAGTCAGTTTCTTTTCTTCATAAGAAAAACATGGGAACTGTAATGATGAGTGAGGCTGTCTAATGGCTGTTCAGAAAGTAACCTCCATTTATTTTAGGCAACTATTGCAGGAGAGGTGGAGAGCTTGTGCATGTGAGATAGTGTCACATGATTCATTGCCTCATAAATCATCATATAACTGGTCACCTAGTATTTGCTCTTGTCTCTAGAGAGTGAGTTATGATGTGTCCTGCAATTGATAATCCAACCAGCTCTGAAATTCACACTGTTATCCACTTTCTACATGTTAGAAACTTGAGTTGTGTGGAAATTTATCGTGAATTAAGCATGGTTTACAACCAAAATGTAATGAATGAAGGACTTGTGAGACAATGGTGTAGAATGTGCAGTGATGGGCGAATAAATGTTCATGATGAAGAGTGAAGTGGTTGGCTGTCTGTAAGGAGTGATAATTTTGTTCAAAGCGTTGAGCAAAAAGTTTGTGAAAGATGGCGCTTCATGATTTCAGAACTTTCATGTGAATTTCCACAGATTTCATGCAGTGTTCTGAATGAGATTATCACAGTTACACTAGGCTATCACAAGTTTTGCACAAGATGGGTTCTGAAAATGCTCATGGGTGTACGCAAAACACAAAGAATGACTTCCTTCAGGTTGTGAAACCAAAGAGCAGCCAAAGCAGTGAATGCACACACATTCACCAAACAAGCCGGAAATGTATAAAGAAATGGCAGCTCTTTTCTGGGACAAGGAAAGGGGTGCTGATGGTGGAATTCATGCAGCAAGAGACCACAATAACATCAGAAGTAGAGTCTAAAGGGTTCTGATGATGGTGTATAACACTCAGATGTGATGATTTTTCAGACATCGTCTGGTATTCTAAAAACTAGAAAACAAAACATTTTGGAAACTGGATCTGTTTCTGTCTAAAGTGAGGGGGAAATGCCTACTATGTTGGGTCTCTTAGGAAGAGCTAACCTCAATCACCTGAGAATACACCATATCCAATTTCTGAAACATTGTTGTTACACCTCAGGGGGAGGGGGTGAGAAAATATGATTACTTTAGTCTGTCGTTGCCCAGTTAGCTAAAATCTTCGCGGCCCTCGGCTGCCGTCAGCTGTCTTGGTTCTGGTCGCTCGGGATCAGTCGGGGATGGGATGGTTATGAAGGAGTGAATCAAAACTCCCTGCGTACATCCTATCCTATGTACACTGGTCTATTTACATTAAAAGGGCCGCCTTCGGCCTGTTTACATCACACCTTCTCGTTAAGCTCTTTCTAATTTCTCTGTCGGAGGGAGGTACCGTGAGACTGTTGCTTCCCTTCATTGTTTGTCACTCTCTACTCCATTTCTACCCTATTCTACCCTATTCTACCCTGGCTCTCGCTGGGGTACACTGGAGACTGCACTTAAGATCACACAACAACACTTTTATCAACACTAATGTTTAACAGCATGGCGCATATGAGCAGAGAGACTTACTTGTAATACCAATGTAGATAACTGTCGCCATCCACCATCTCGTGGCACACATATCGACTAGGGCCTCCGGCTGACAACTGAATATTATGTGTTAGATCGGATTCCTAAGTCTCCTAAATTCGGCAATTTATATCATTAACTTGCTGAATTGGCTGTGGACGAAAGAGGGAAGTTAACGCCCCTTGTTCTCAGTTTCCAAAGTTATATTCTAATTGGCTATTCCGTGTGGTTGTGGGTGGGCCCATGGCGTCTCATCGCTGCGTAATTAATAATATTACCATCTCCAGTGGCCCCATTAGCAGAGCTTCTTACTTATGTGATTACGCACAAATGCTGATCATCAACATTCTTAACCTAGTTGCCTGTCCAGGTGTTGACATACTAATGTAATGGCTGTAAAACACTTTTCGCAAGTCTCGGAACATTTAAGTAATGCCTTAAATTTCCAATCTCAAAATTGGGGCGCAACAATTGTATTCTCTAGCTTTTAGAATACTGGGCAATGGACAAAGTCTGAAAGCTAAGTAATTCTGAACATTGGAAGTGTATTGTGAAACAAAATAAAAATATGTTGGGCCGGCCATCCAGAGAAGGTATGGAATGCTAACATCCAGTATAGTGCTGTTCCATGACAATACACATCCACATACAGCTGCTTGTACTCAACAACTGCTGGAGCATTTCAACTGGAAGTTGTTTGACCACCCTCCTTGCAGCCCTGATCTCCCTCTGAGTGACTAACACCTATTTACATGCAGAACTGACTGGGATCACAGCACTTCAACAATAATGAGTTGATGGAGGGTGTAAAAGTGTGGCCGAACTCACAGATGGAAGTGTTCTATGGCACAGGTATACAAAAACGTATTCCCTAATAAAGTAGCTCATGTATATATATATTTTTTGCATGTAATAAAATTATTTTATATTATAGGAATCATAGTAACAAAGTGTTATCTGAAGTCATGAGCAAGACAAGTCCAGAAATCTAGAGACACCAAATGTAAGTATTCACAACAAGAAACAAAAATTGTTCTTTAACATGCAGTGCAGATTTTTATGGATGGGCATGCATTGCCAAATGTCCCATATGTTCCATCCTGTTCCTTCCAACATGCATTCTAGAAAAAAAAGTAAATACCAAAAATGTTCCTCTTGGGGAGGCACAGGAGTATCAGTAATACTTGTACATCGGATACTTTAACCACCGCTTTTTTTTTTAACATACTTTCTCTGGGGGAAAAGTGAAATACAAGGAACATTCATCTTGGTGAAATACCTGAAAAAATAACTGATGCTTTTCTGTTTTAGTAAAGAGACACAGGATGGCCAAAGAATCCCTTATGACACATTCATATTGTGACATGTTGCGCTACGGTAATAGGCAGGTCAACATCCCCCCCCCCCCGCCAGCGGTGACGTGCCAAACGAAGCCGAAGTGAGCTGAGTCCAGCACGCTGGCTGCTATGCAGAGTGAGTAAACAGCGGTTACTAAGCAAAGCCAGTCAAAGCCCGCTGTGATGTAACACGGGATGCCGCAGTTGCCACGTAGCCGTAAACAACTCCCCCAACAGCGGTTGCTAAGCAAAGCAAGTGAACAGTGGTTGCTAGAGACGACAGTAATAACAGCATACATAACAGGCAAACACTGCGACTATATAAGGGAACTACACAGCCGCCGAAGACAGTTGGAAGTTAGTGTGTGATCAGGAGTTAATGTGTGAGCCGGAGCAACACAGTTGGAGTATAGCAGCAATCGCGGAAAGAAGAACTGGACGCGTGTGTGATAATCAGCGATAGTTTGTGATAACCGAGAAGTAATTGGGAGTGTGTAACACAGTGACACTTATATAGCTCCTGTACTGTAAACACATGTTGACTTCTGAGGACAGAGTGAAGAGATTATTGTGAATAGGGTTATAAGGTGTGAAACCCCACAACAGTGTTATAATTAATTGTAACCGAGACTTGTAGGTTGTTAAATAAACCAATTAATCCGAACGGCGTCTTCAGTAACTAAACACGTTACAATATGTTTCTCAAATTATAAATAAGTTCCTATATGTGCCAGTCAGAGAAGTTTTATTGAATTTTTAAGTCATGAAATAAATGTAAGCTTCTAAGAAAATTTTTTGGCTATCCCCATTGGAAAACTGGCTACCAACAAATTTTATGAGCTGTAGCATGGAAAGAACTTTACCTATGTTCTTATCATTGTATTATTACAAAATACAGTTATCCTTTAAGTGACTTCAGTGTTTTGCAGTGAGTTGTCAGACTGTCTTGAGAATGAAGCAGATACTATGAACAGAATGTGGTCTCTTAATTCTGTATTTCAGCATCCTGTTTCAATTGTTCATATTAGCGTCCATTTGTCTATAATCCATCTAAATTGCAACACTTTTTTATTTTACGCTTCAATACACTCTCTAACACTGGGAAGATGGCCGTTTGAGGCCGAAACAAATGGAGGTTATATGGTCTCTTAACATAACCCATTTTCATTTAGATGATTATGTAAACAAACAGAATTACCATTACTGGGTTTTGCAAAATCCAGGGGTTGTTACTGACAATCTCTTATTTCGTCACCGAAGTACTGCACAATGTGCACTTTCCAGTATTTGCATATTCAAATGCGTGTTGATTGAACACACAGTCAGTTCTTAGGTTTAGTTTATGGATTATGCTGTTGGGATATTGATAAGGTCAGGTTCAAACAAGATGACCTGAGGCTGAATACATCCAGTATCATATTAGACAGTCTAAAGGAAATTTTTGGAAACAGAATGCCCTTAGACTCCCTTGTGTTATTCATGGTGGTGGCTACCTGTGTCACAAGATTTAAACCCATGTGACTTTTCTTCTGGGTATATCTCAAGGATAGTGTGTCCAGTAATAACTGTCACACAGTTGATGATTTGGAAGAGGCAACGCAACAAAAGATGTTTTGAATTCCCACAGGAACTTTGAAAGCTGCAGTATGGAATTTCATTATTCAACTCTGACACATTATCTCGCAGGTGGAGAACATATTGAATTTCTTTTGCATTTAGAACTCTGTTTCCTATATATAGTACAGTCATTTTAAATGCAAAAATAAAGAGCTTTATATAAACTGTTTTAATTTTATGAATCAATTAAATGGTGTGACTTAATAACAGTGTCTGAAACTTACTCTGTTTGTTATTAAAACTAATGGGGGGAGGGAAGTCTGGCCCCACTCTTCTTGACCTTGACACTAGATAGGTGTGATCAGCTTCACACCCTAGCTGCTTCATCCCCAAGGAAAAAGCCCATGGTACCCACTAGAGAGGAGGCTGGGTGGGTCATACAGCTGGTCTGGATGCTGTGGAGTGGAGAAAAATCTCTTGGCCCTGCTGGGAATTGAATCCCAGCAGTCTAGCCCATAGTCCATTGCTAATTAAAAATGGCAAATCAGGGACAAAAGGGGCATGTATTACATAAACAGACCAGGGATGTAGTTTTTAGAGTTAATTGCTTTCAAGGAAGAACCAGATGCTTGGCAGACACTGAAAAATTATGCTGAAGTACATAAACACAATGCCTAAGCTTGTGGTAATTGTGAGGCTTCCTGAAAATAAGTGGAAGTATACAATTTTATTTCCAGGAAGGGTGTACAGAGTAAGGTGAGGCATTCTACAGTGTAATATGCTGAACATATATCATAGAAGGGAAGTATGAGGTATGAAGGACACGGTAATACGTGGTAGAGTCATTAAGTTCGTGGAATGTGATTTTATTGCATCATATTACAAGGTGTTGTGGCCCAAAGGCCGACTCCCGGTAATATGTTAACATAGTATTAACATTTTTGTATTTTTGGGAAAATATTTGTTAGGATAGATTTGGTTTTGGGAAATAATTGTAAGAGGTACGAAAGCGGATGTACGAAAGGTTAACAACTTAAAGGAATTTCTGCGTATGGATTTAGACGGACATTGGCTTGCCGCGAGGGAATGCCGAGTCAGCAGAATGACGTTGAATGTATATCGAACTGCTAACTACAGAATTTACACTTGCGTGATGGGGGGACGTTTGGAGGTAAAAATGTCAACCAAACGGTTTAGCAGTAGAAGGGGGTGTGTCCCCTTAGGATCCCAGCCAACGAGATCACCCACCTTGGGATAAGACGTCATTGGAGGCGGACTTACACCCTCCGGGAAAATAATGAGTAAGCATACATAGGGG